CTTTCACGCTACAAATAAACCAGTTTTCCCTTTCAATTGGTCGTTGGGCGAAATCTCTTTTGAACAATGTTTTATTGAATGTTAATAAATAAGTATTCATGAGGGACGCAAAGGCAAACAAACAAATGTGGAATTTATTGTATTTTTCGCAGACATTTATTACTATTTTTTGATATTTTATTTCCGTTTATATTCAAAGGACCAACAAACATGTAGCTCGCGTTGATAAATTGAATTAAATAATATTGTTTGATGGATAAAACATGATTTATTAGTTTCTGGGTTTGTTCCTGATCCATATCTAGCCTGAGAGCAGAAATGGAATCTGCTTCAAAGCGAGTTTACCCCTAACGTAAGGCTCGTTGTGTAAATACACTTTGACATAGATTCTGGCTTTATAATAAGTCAGATTGTTAAAACTCGAAGAAACAGAATCATTGCACGCATTTTAAGTGTTTTTAATTTTTCATTTATTACTGAAATTTCTATACATCTAAAATACATGTACTTATACAATATTATGTGTTTTCTACAATATTTGGGGTCATCATCATCGTCATCAGCCTATTAATGTCCCTCACTGCTGGGGCACCGGCCTTCCCTATGGATGGAATAGGGAGATTGGGCCATGACCCACCACTTGGGCCCAGTGCGGATTGGTGGGTGCTAACGACTGCAGATGTAACCGGGACCAACGGCTTAACGTGCCTTCCGAAGCACGGAGGAGCTCGAGATAGTGAATTTTTGGTCACCCATCCAATGACCGACCACTGCCAATGTTGCTTAACTTCAGCGATCGCAGCCGAACGCGCTTACCACTGGCGCCAACGAGCTCCTCCATCCACCCTATCCATCTCTCCTCCATCGAGATATTTGGGGTAAGTAACAGCAACCAAGAAAAGGTTTATAAGCCAAAATATACTCAGTTGTATTCAATGGAACATCAATGTTCGTCAATATTTTTTGTGCACTCGAGAACGGATTCCGGTCCAATTTTTTTTTATATGTGTGAAGGAGAAAGTGATTTTACAGCGACCTTGGTTAGTCACTGCAAAATATAGGGTTCAAACGAAAAGTTGACGGTCACCAGTGATTCGAATTCAAAATTGATATTATATCTATACATGTAATAAAATGGTAGGAAAGTCAAAACTGTACCTTGAATATTTTTTTAAAAGAATACTTGGGGTGTGATCTACGAGTACAATCGATAACGAAGCCAAAAATATAGTTTTTAGAATTTTTGTCCGTATGTATGTCCGGGATAAACTCAAAAAGTACTGCATGGATTTAGTTCAAATATGGGACGAATATTATTAAGAAATCGGGTCAACATATAGGCTACATATTATTACGCTATCACCTACGGGGAACAAGCAGTGAACCTTTATTTCTAACTAACTCCACGCGTACGAAAACGCGGGTGGCTGCTAGTAGGTATATAAATATTTGCTTCTTAGGTTTTTACGCACACGACTCGTTAAATAAACCAAATTTCAACGGTATAGATGCACTCTTTAATTTATTTTTGGAGGTTGCGTCGCATCCTGAAAGTCGTCTGTATTATAAATTCAGACAACGCATCCTGAAAAGGATGCGAAACGTCAAAGAATAAATAAATCAATGCATCTATACCGTTGAATCTTGGTTTATTTATATAAGCTACTTTAGTAACATGTTTTTTTTCAGTTACCATTTTGTAGAGAAAGTTCCTGCAACTTTGACAGATTCGTAAAATTGTTGCCATCGTTGAATTTTGTAAGGAACTAACCAGTTTGTTCTTACGTCCGGTAGGGGCGTTGCTTAATTTTCATACAATCTTTGGCGATGTGATACGATTACGGGGTTGTCTAAGTTCGTGCTTGGGCCTCTGATGTAAAAAAAAGTAAGTGGAGACTTGAAGATCTGAAATGGCGCCATTGAATAACCCACCGAAAATTAGTTTCATCTATTCATCAATGACGAGTCTGCTATTGCATGGTGACTACTATCCCTTATTAATAAACGAGGACTAAATTCAAATTTAAAATTCAAATCATTTATTATTCGGACAACATAGATCCATGTGTTACTATACAATACTTATATACTATAATACTATGTAAGTAAATTATATTAAAAACAGATATAACCCTATTTACAAAAATATTTATCAGTACTAAGCTAAGCTTAGACTAGTTACGTTTTGTTCATATCACTCAAATCCCTTTTGTAATGCGATGAACAGAGACAAAACATGGAGTAACTAGTACAAGCTTATTCTTCGCTTATTAATAAAGGGGTATATGGGAATTCCAATCCCGCTATTCTAGACCCCATGTTGTCTTTCTCACAACAAGATTGTGAGATTGTGGTCAAACGCTTTGTCTATTATACATTAAAACGACGGGTTGCACTCCGGTAGTGCCGGCAGAAGTGAAAACTTGAATTTTAACGTTGAGCATTTTTGATATTTTGGAATGGTTAGGGAATAATTTTGCACGAATTGCTTTAATTATCAGTATAAAAGTACTATCATTTATGTTGTAGAATACAATATTTATTTATAGCGGTATGGTACACAAACATGACAATTTATATTACATTAAAAAAGTTTATCTCTCAGAAAAATCAACTAACATAAATCACGTTTAAGCGCACTTAGCGACATCTATTGTAAAAAAATGCATTTTATTCGCAATAAAGCTGCCACGTGGACGTCCTAGATTGAGACTTATTATTATAATACGGTACAATAAAATATTACTGTTTCGTCCAATATATTTAAAGCCAACAACCTTTCCAATTTTATTGTGTGTCATGATGCGATCAGCCCCGGGTTTAACCTGACGCGAGTTTAACATCTTTTACACATACAAAAAAAGTGTACAAAGCCGCTAAAGAAGTTTTCACTTCAAAAACAATAATAGAACACCATAATGAATGGAAACTTCATCATCATATTGGGCGCTGTGCTCGGCTCAGCAACGTGACACTTGATCTGACAAGTGATCTGGCATGTAACTTGCCACTAGCATCAACATTCAAAGTAAATGTATGAGTGCGCTAACGCCCATTTGTTTGGCGTAGTACGACACGACCTGACGTGTCTCTCAGCATGCTACTAGTGACACAATGAAGTGATGCGCAATACGAAACTTGCAGTGATAATCACTGCAGTTACAATGAAGGCCGATTCAGAATGTAATACAAAATATATTGAATTGGGACATGAAATACCGTGTATGTAGATTCCTTCATAGCAACGTATGGTGCCACCAGTTTTTAACATTTTTCCACCTAGGATGTACCCAAAAGCGTCTTTTCCCGCGTAAATTTAAATTAAATATTTAAATAAGCAAGAACATTTTGATCTTTATTAAACTACGACATTGCCTCGAGTGCCTTTGTACTCTGAAAAGTCTCTGGCATGTCACCATGGTGGGTTCATAGAATGCATGCCAGAGTCGTGCTATATGCCGGAGGACAATCACGTTGTCACGTTGCATAGGTAGGCATAGTTCCTTATTGTTTCTTTTTCATACTGTGATGGGAATAAATAGAAATCAACTATTTATAAAAATTGTAACTATAATTGCTATTTCTTCTTTCAAATGTTTAATGCTTGTAAAGGTATTCATTTGAGATTGTGAATTGCGTCACCTACAATGCGAAGAGATCTCGCTGTCATGCAGCTTAAGAACGGCTAGAAAGAATTCGACACGGCCATCAGGGCCGCGGTAGCATAATTGGTCAGTGCATTCGCCCGGATAGTAATCACGTTACTGTCACGTTGCATAGGTGGGCACAGCGCCTTATTGTTTTCTTTTCATACTGTGATGGAAATAAATAGAAATCAACTATTTATAGTTACTCGTGTCTCTGTTGAGAAATTTGTGCCTTGCTTATAATATCTCTTTTTTATTACATGAATATAGCATCCGTCTCAACGCGATGCTTTCACTTGTCGCCGACGTCGCTCAAACTTTACGATGGGTTTTATACCTCTCGCGAACTGATGGTTTTATATGTTTCCATTAGCATAATTATAATAATAATCAGGCTCTAACATTGTATCTCACTTTACGATTAGAAGGTAAAAGTGTATTTATACACCTTGCTAGTTATAATGTTTAACCGCCTCCAAAAGGAGGAGGTTCTCAATTCGTCATTATATATTTATTTATTGTTGTTCGCACGTATCTCCGAGTTTTGTTGGCCGATTTTGATTGGTCTGTTTAGAAGAGTTTGTAAGCAAAATGGTCTTATATTGATTTGGTGAAGGTGAAGATCTGATAAACACTTTTGGAGATTAACAACAGAACTCCTGAAAATCTGTTGTTAATCTCCAAAAGTGTTTATAAGAACAGTAGACAATTCTTGTTCTGTTATGTTATAGTCCGGCCACTCAGAGATTGCGTTTCTGACAGGTCGTGTCAGTTCCTTATGGCGACAGAATAAAGTACACTTTAGATCTAATAAAAAAGAGATTCGAAAATTAACTCTAATACTATCACCATAAGGAACTGACACGACCTGACAGAAACGCAATCTCTGAGCGGCCGGACTTATACGAAATATGAAAGAGAAATTACAGGCCAGACACCTGAGTATATTAAGTAAGTTGATGATGCTCTGGTTTAAAAAAAATAAAATTAGCACTTATGGAACAATAATAAAAACCGACTTCATAAAAACTAAACCACTAAAAATTATGTTTTCTTCATAAAGTCAGTAAACATCTGTTCTATTTAAAACTAATGCTGATACACGTACAACATTTTTTTTGCGGAAGTTAACTGCATTGAAGTAAAATCACACATAGCCAAGGGGAAGGGGAAAGCATGGGCTTATGAGTGATAGCGTATTTGTATTAGGTATCTGATGTTACGTACATCTTCAACCATAGGCCTACGCCCACAACCGTGCTTAAGTAAATGATTAGTGTAATAGAAGTAACAAGTTAAAAGTTCAACTATATTAATTAAGTATTTGATCTAACAGAAAAGTCAGTCAATTAAGGACAACATAGATTGTGTCAAATTGTTTATTAAAATTTTTACAAACAAAAACATAAAAATAGTGCATAGGCAATTTTATACACAAAAAAAATTGTTACATTTTGTTCCTCTCAAATGCGAAAGCCTTCACTTGTTCCTGGTACCTTCTATGCTTTTCCTCTAATGTACGTAACGCACTGGAAGGTCTAACTCCACCAACATTGACAGAGAAACTTATTTGTACCGGAGGTACAATATTTTCGGCTCTATCTTTTTCTGTGTTGATGCCTTTACTTTTTGCACTAGATCTAACAGACTTGGTAACCTTCAAGTTATCATCTTGTGCTGTTTTCACTTTTTTGTTTGAGTTATTATTACATTGCTTTTTAATTGTTTTAAATTCTTGTCGTTGAGATCTTTGTTTATTGTCTCCTTGTTTTATTACTTCCTCATTTCTTTTATAATTTTCGTTATTCCCTTTTATGTTCGCTGATTTAGGTTTTGTTTTGAAGTTTTTCAATGTTTTGCTGATTTTATCATCTGCTGAATTGTTGACGAGATAAGAGGCGTTATGCTCATTCTTCGGAGAATCCTTTGATGCACACCGTGGTCTTGCAGACCCATTCCTATTTGCTTTCTTTTCAAGTTCGATTTCCAACGACTTTTTATATATTTTTAATCTGTTTTCCATTCTTACCTTTTCTGAATACCGTTGCAGACTTCTAGCTCTTTCTAGTCTTGGTTTGATTTTTTCCATATCTGGACCAAGACCACCTAATTTTATATTTTGTATAGGTTGAACAGTAGCTCTTCTCACCTGACGATGTGGTGGTGAAACTTCCGATATGCTCTTGAGGTTATTATCATCGGCTGATTGACTTCCACCATCATCCAAATTAAGGCCTGCATCAAAAGAATTCTCTAGATAATCTTCAAGCTCATCATTCAGAATTTTGTCATAAAACATTTCATTATAAGCTTCAGTCTCATAGAATTCAGTGACTGGATTATTATATTCTTCCCCAAAGCTTTCTCTTTCAGTATCTCCAAATTCGGGAGATAAAGAACGTATTTCCTGTTCGACTTGTTTCTTTTTAATATTATGAGGAATGAATTGCTTTCGAAACTTCTCTAAATAAGACGATGTTTTGATTTTTTTAACATCTCTTTTAACAAGGTAACTGTTACTTGTTGAATAGGTATCCTTTCTTGAACGATGTTCTTGCTTTGTCTTCTTTTTTTGATCTTTGTGGACCTTTATAAGTACATCCTTCTCATAAAATGGCACCAATATTGTATCAACATTATCATCCAATGGCGAGTCGAGCTTTGGTTTCGTATTTACAATACAATTGTTTTCTAAGCTATCCAAAGAAATATTGCTTTCAGAACTTGAACGTTTATCCATTATTCTTGACGAAATATTATGTCTTTTTCTTTTTCTCACAAACAAATAAGATGAAGTTTCCATAACATCATAGCGTCATAGTGACACACGTGTTTTTTTTAAAGCTAATTATAGATAAGATTTAAAAAGATCAAATCAGTTTAATTATTATCGTTGAACAATTTGTAGATTAAGGCTAGCCTTACACAGTGCCAAAATAGGTGCGTTTGGATTTGATTTCTTCTTATCTATACTTATAATAAATCTGTAGAGAGGTCAATTCTGTACATGAAATATATTTTCAAAATAACTATCAGGGGGTGATAGGTGATCGATACTGATGCCAAAAATGCAATCAGTAAAATTTTTGTCTGTCTGTCTGTCTGTCTGTCTGTCTGTGTGTATGTTCCTTATAGAAAAAAAAACTACTCGACGGATTTTAACGAAACTTGGTACAATTATTCTTCATATTCCTGGGCAGGTTATAGTATACTTTTCATCACGCTACAATCAATAGGAGCAGAGTAGTGAAGGGAAATGTTGGGAAAACGGGAGAAGTTACTCCATTTTTTAAGCTTCCGTCGCGTGTGGAGCCTTAATGGTTAAAGTTACATAGAAATCATGTATGACGGAAATATTCTACATAAAATTGTCTAAAAAATATCCCGCAACAGCATATGTCTATCTTTTATGGTTGACTCACAATAACACGTGTAACTCCTGATAGCTTAGCAGTTCGGAGCATTCTGATTATATTTGTTTACTCTTACGTTTATAATACTCTCACTCATCCCTAATTTAAAAAAGTTAACATTATTACCTATTCAATAAAAAGAGAATCATAGAAATCGGTATAGAAACACCAAACTTATACATGAAATAAGCCATCGCGCCGTCGCACGTGAATACTGAATCATGCTTTAAGGATTATTTTTATGTAACGGCTGCCGCGCTCGACACGGGTCATGGCGGCGCGGTAGGGTATAAAAAGGCGGGAGGTCCGAAAGCGAGCTTCCCCGCCCCCCCGATCCTGAGAGACCTTCAGTCGCTCAGTCCCAAACCGATACGGATGCACATCAGGGTGCATCCGTCCTCTAAGCGTACTATGCAGTAGTATTTACTAAGGCAGCGCTGCATCATCCCCTTCTCAGGGGTTGATCGCATCAGATGAAGCCTGTAAGGCCCCTAAGGCCACCCACGGGTGTGTTTTAGTCAGTAAGAGTCTGACATAACTCTACAGCCGGCTGTAGGGTATCCATGAGGATTTCACACCCGCTCCCCCGCCTGGGAGGAAACAAAAAAAAAAGAAAGCGAGCTTCATTCAATATTTGGCTGTTGATGCGTTCAGAGCGTTCGACCTTATTTACAGACAATAATTGATATTGAGAAACCATGTTTATCTTAGAATAAAAACCAAACATTTGTAAACAAAATTAGCAAATAAATCATGTAAAACGTGTAGAAAATGAGTACTGGAAAACGGAAATATGAGAATTTTAGTTTGGTTATAAATACAGGTAATAAAAATGACCGTTATTATCTATATCTTTATATATATAATTCTTCTGTGAGTGTGTATGTCACTGAACTTCTCTTAAACGACTGGACCGATTTTGATGAAATTTTTTGTGTATGTTCAAGGGGATCTGAGAATGGTTTAGATTCACAATTTTGTCCGCTGGACAACCCCTATTTTTTTAGGGCGGTACGAAGTTCGCTGGGTCAGCTAGTGAAATAATATTCTGTAACATAAATCTGACACATTCATAATCTGACATTATCAGAATGTCACATACATTCTGATAATGTCAGATTGTGAATCAAGGAGGAAGCGCAGAGCTCCTTGCGCTCTGAATTAATAATATGAATACAGATCCTGATTCAGACTACAAAACCGTTCCTTTTTGCTGACGGCCTTACACAGTCTGAATCAAAATCTGATTTTTATATTAAAAGGGTGGCAAACAAGCGACGGCCAGCCTGATGATAAGCGTACACCGCACCCCACAGACGCTTACGATCCCAAAAATATGTATCACTCTCGCCATTGCTTACCATGACCAAATCCCCTACCACGTGGAGCCCTGGTACAAATGGTATTGTCAAAAAGTTTGGATAGAATAGGGTAGGTATAGGCAATACACAGCAGCTATGGTATAGATAGTATTTTTTATTCATTTCACTAAAAACGAATTGACATGTTTTTCTCTAAAAATACATATAATAAAGTTTATTTTTTGTTTCAGTCGGTTGGGTTTTATTAATGTTAGCCACCCCAGACTGTTTGTTCCTTTAAGTGAAATAGAGGAAGGGCATAAATTTCTCAGCTGTCAAAAGTTTGAGAGCACTTGCTGGCTCTGTACCAAACTGATAACTAGTTAGTGGCTTCTGTCACTATCCATTCCAGTTCGATGCTAATCTTGAGCGCTTTCTGAAAATATAATCTTTTTACGTATTTCATGAAAACGTATAATAAACATCAGTCCTGAGTATTTAAAAAATAACTTCTCAATTGTATGTCTTCTGTCTGTGTGAAAAAATACATCGCATACGACGGATTAGAAGTGCTGCGTACAAGAAGTCCCCGTACAACCGAGGACACCAAGCGACCAGACTGAACAAAACGGGGGTGTCCCCGAACAAAAATGAACACATGTGACTAGGCGCAACAACGCACACAGCGAACTTAAGTTCGAGTCGCGAACATTGTGCGCTCGATACGATTTAAAGAGATGGGGTCCCAGTATTGTCTTTAAAAACTTCTTCTCTTTTTCTTAAACTTCATGTTAATTACAACACAACATAATCTGATAATATTTACTTATATAGCGTGAGCTTCTTAAAAATCGGACAACAAACGTTCGCATATCACATGCGTTGAGTCCGTGACAAGTCCTACACGTTTTACAGTCATTCTCATGCAGTTTCAAGCAGAAACCAATGGCGCTTTTAATACTTACTTTTTTTTATAAAAGAAACGTTTATGTCTGAGTGGAAGAAATAATGCTTCGACCTGAGCCAACAACCTTCTGCTTGGGTGCGGCGGTTACGTTCTTTGTAATTTTACTATATATTGAAAATCATTTATCATTTGACCACGAAATTTAACAAATTAATTATTAATTATAAACCGTCATTAAAGCACATTATTTTTTATTGATTTCCATAATAAGTGCGTAGAGACACATCCGAAGGACTCATAAGTTCTAAACGGTTTTAATTTTCGTCAATGGATAGGCATTTGAATAAAATCTTTACAAACATTGCTATTTTTTATATTAATTTGGTGATGTTATTATCCCAAATCAAGACACTAGTTATCCTTGCCACCTAAATTCCTTAAACATGAGTTTTTTGTAATGCGTAGTTATTGACATGTCACTAAAGCATGTCACCGTTATTATTATCCGTGCAAAAGTTTAATGCTTTATTATGCAAAACAATTATAATTTTAGCCATAAGCTGTAATCGATTTTTTACGAACAACAGCACAGGTGGTTCTCAAGCTATAGATGACCCCATAAGATAAATACTTGAAGATCCGTACAGAGATTTAACGTGTTTTTTACTCGTCAAAAAGGTAACGACGTCATTAATAAATGTTTTTGAAGTTCGTTTATTGACCCTGACATTAACACTAATCTTACAAAAACAACATAACATTAGTAAGTAGGTACGCATAACTAATGACGGAAAATGATATGTTGTTAACAAATGCCATGTAGGTAATATTTTTTTGTACATTAGTAGGATAAAGCACCTTTTTCAATCCAATAACTTTTTACATTAGAAATAATGTCTTCATACTAATATTATAAATGCGAATGTGTCTGTCTGTTACCTCTTCATGCTTAAACCGCTGCACGGATTTATTTAGTAGTAATAGTTCGAATCACCGGGAAAGGACAAAGGATAGTTTTTATCCCCCATTGAGGGGGTAAAATGGGGGTAGAATTTATATGGGAAATCAATTTAACCACGCAGACGAACAGCACCCGCTAGACATAGCTGTTTGTAGGTAATACTACAAATTGAATTGAATTGAAAAACTTTTTGTTCAGTTTTATTTCTCTTTCTATTTACATATTATTTTTACAGCATAAATAATGTAAAAATAATATTGAAAAGCTGCTTTGTGCGATTAAAACGCGAACTGTTTAAAGATTCAAATGAGACCGAATTAGTAATTGACTAATTTCGTAATGGTAAGTATTTTGTCTACCCCTGTGTATAAAGAAAACATCGATGCTGTATCAGTTATGATTAAAACAGAGGGGCGAGTAACTTATCATGAGATTCGGGTACTTAACCAAAGGCTTGTGCAACAGAAAATCTTAAATAAGTGAGTGTTTTTGCCATGCCACGAGATACAACAAAAATACTTTGAATTAGAGACTTAATGACAGTAACGAAACAAGAATCTTCAAAATAATTAAGAATTACAAAATCACGTTGTCAACCATTTTCATTCAACAGAAGATCCTGTTGAAGAGTAAAATACGTAATGTTTTTGAGGTCACCATGGGTTGAGAAACTAATGCGTCACCACGGAGGAGTGGCGAGTGGAGGATATATATTTTCAAAAAATATTTATTCTTACAAAAAACTCGTACATTTTAAGCTAAGAGATAATATTTGTAAACAATATAGTTCTTTCTTATTCCTTGCAAAATTTTAATATATACATACCCCGTTAATATCAATAGTGTAATTCATAAAACCAGCAGCAACATTAAGTATTGATTGATTTCTAAAATAATTTGAATGTTTTCCCGCGAGTTCGAAACTTGATTTGTAGACTAAGAAAATAGTTCGTAACATACGCTAGATGTCTCTGGAAGCTCAGCATGGTTTTGGCTGCATTTCAAACTCCTTCAAGAACTCTAACAACAACTCGTCGACCTTTCGGCTTAGCTACAGTAGCCGCTCTGTCCATTCATTCATAATGCTACTGAGCCCATCAATATCTCATTACCAACAGCATACAGATAACACTCTATGCTATATATTTAAAGTTCATTTTGAAATGCAAATTACGTTCCATATCGGATGTGAATCACAAATTGGTTATTATGGCCTTTGCATCAGTTAAAATCACGAATAACGTTGACTGTTCAGTTGTATTGTACGGATTGAAATTAAATATCCCTCTTATTTATAAGTAATAAAGACGTTTATATTTGTAGTTTGTAATACTCGATTGACTGTACAAATAT